AAAAGAGAAGAGAATATAGAGGATAGAAATTAGAATAGAATAGAATAGAATAGAACAGAGAATGTAGAAATAAAAGAATAGAATAGAATGATAGGAGAATTAGAAGAGAAAACAAGAATATAGAGGATAGAAATAGAATAGAATACAATATATAATAGAACATAGAATAGAATAGAAGATTGAAATAGAATAGAATACAGAATAAAATTAGAGTAGAGAACAGAACAGAAAAGAATAGAAAACAGAAAAGAATACAGGATAGAGTGGAATGGCACACTCTATTTGGCCAAACGGCTGCTGCTTGTAATTCAAGAACAACCTTGTAGGGTTTTTTTCCACTCTTACATGCAAACTTACATTGTAGGCCTTCAGCTGCGTGTGGCTGATGCATTGGCCGCTCATGCAGCTCTTCCCTTCGCCGCAGGGCGTCCCGTCCGCCCAAGGGAAATATTTGGTCTGGCACATGAACTGCCCGTTGATCTGGCCGGTGCACCAGAGGGAGGAGCAGGGAGGGTGCATGTTGGGACAGTGGCGGGATTCGGTGCCGAAGCTGAGCTGGCATTGCTGGTCCACGTTGTAATTGTTGCCAGGGAAGACGGCGGGCAGCTTTAGGGGCTCGTGGGGCTTGTCCAAGAGGCAGGAACCTGAACGGAGAGGAAGGGAAAAAAAATTGAGTTTTGAGAGGTTGGCGTATCAAATACTAGCTGGAGACCCGTGCTTTGCTATGAAACTTTGTGGTGGGGCTTAGTTTTGGGGGAGGAAAATAAGGGGGGGAAATTCTGCCTCTGTCTACCAGCATTCATCGGTATTCATCTGTCCAGCGTCCCTGTCAGTGTGTGGGAGAGGTGAGGGCTGTTTGGAAACTGAAACAGCATTTGCTGTGAGCAAGAAGGAGACAGCAAGGAGCCTTGGGCGTGGCTTAGCTCAACTGTTCTGTACTAAAGCTGCTTGGTGCTCTGAAACTGAAACTGAAACTCCTCTGCTTGTGTTTTGCATTGGGAAGAGATTTCTTTTCAGGTGGGGAGGGGGAGCACAACTCCTTAGCATCAGAGCGTGTTAATAATAATAATATAGGAAATACTATAATACACATCTCAAAATCTCCAGAACTGTAAAGCCTACAAACTTGAAATTGGGCATGTATGTTCCTCTTGGCTTCTAGGGGCTCACTAAGAAAGGATTTTTTTTTCCGAAATGACCATCAGAGCATTAATATTTCCTATATTATTTTTATTATTATTAACACGCTCTGATGCTAAGGAGTTCTACTCCCCCTTCCCACCTGGAAAGAAATCTCTTCCCAATGCAAAACACAAGCAGAGGAGTTTCAATTTCAGTTTCACAACACCAAGCAGCTTTAGTCCAGAACAGTTGAGCTAAGCCACGCCCAAGGCTCCTTGCTGTCTCCTTGCTCACGCAGCAAATATTCTTTCAGTTTCCAAACATCCCTCAACTCTCTCACACACTGACAGGACACTAGCCAGATGAATATCGATGGATGCTGGTAAGCAGAGGCAGAATCCCACCCCCCTTATTTTCCTCTCCCCAAACTAAGCCCGACCACATAGTTTCGTAGCAAAGAGCGAGTATCAGAACTAGTCTACTACAAAGGAAGAGGCAGTTAAGAAGAACGGTTGGCCAAGAAGGAGTGAGATACAGACGAGAAGAGAGACCAAATCGTACCGTGGCCGTTGTCCAAGAAATCGGTAATGAAGCGGCCGCTACACGGGGACCACATCTCGTCAGGATTGACCGGAGACATGACGGAGGCCATCATGTGGCGGGTATTGCTTTGACGGTTCAGCTCCTTGCAGTGTTTGTCGTCGTCGTGCAACATATTGAAGACGTGACCTGCGAGTCGAGAAGGATTATTTTCATTTTGCTCCTTCCATATCTTCTCCTGTGGCCACCAGAGCGATACACCCTTAGTTTACGTTAGTTCGCTCATGGGAGGCTTAGGATGTCAAAAGTCAGCTCTGTTGTTTTTTTTTCCATCCCTTAACTCAAGTTTCTAGTCCCCCTCGAGGTCTTTCGAAGGGATGGGCAAAGATTACAAGCAAATAAACCCAGGAACCAAAGAATTATTGTAAATATATTGGATATACACTGGACTAAAGATTTACTGAGCAGTGGAAATATTTGAATGATTTATCCAAGTGTTGATTTTAGCAGATTTTAGCTCTCTCTCTCTCCCCCCGCTTCCTTCTCCTTCTCTTTCTCCTTATCATTCTCTTTCTCTCTCTTTTGCTCCTCTCTCTCTCCCTCCTTCTCTCTCCTCTCTCTCTCTCCCTCCTTCTTTCTCTTTATCATTCTCTCTCTCTTTTTCCTTCTCCTTATTCCATTTCTCTCTTTCTCTCCACTTTCTCTCTCTCCCCTCCTTCCCTTCCTCTATCTTTCTCTCCTCCTCTCTATCTCTCTTTCTCCTTCTCTTTCTCTTATCTTCCTCCCCCTTCTCTTTCTCCTCTTTCTCTCTCTCCTTCTCCCTTTTCTCTCCCTCTTTTTCATTCTCTTCCTATCCCAGCAAAGCAAACTGATCTTGTTTTTCCACCTTGCTTTAACACCACTGAGAGAACTTCAGTCTGATAAGGACACTAAAAAATTCTCTCACGGTGATCCCTGACAAAGAGGAAAGCAATGATGCTCTCAGGCCCCATCTATAGCTGTGGTGATCTGATAGGCATTTTCTCTGACAATAAACCTTGCTGACGTTTGTCAGAGTCCGAAGGGACCTTGGAGGTCATCTGTTCTAGTCCAGTGTTGGAGCACCCTTAACTTCTGGAGGCAGCAGTTCCACTGGTTAATTATCCTCACTATGAGGAAATTTCTCCTTAATTCTAGGAGGTTGTCTTGATTTATTCCAAGCTGGAGAACTGTCCAATAAAAGCCCAGTTTGATTTGACTGGAGTTAAGCCGCTTACTTTACCCAGATTAGGGGTATCTGTCGATCTGATCCCACTTACCCAATTCGTGGGCCGCCGTGAAAGCCGACTGGAGCCCATCATCCTCGACTATGGAACAACTGCGGGCCGGATCACACACGGTGCCCACATCTGCCATGCCCAGAGTACCACAGCTGGAGCGTCCACAGAGATCCTGCCGGCAAAGAGAGAAACGTTGCATTGTGACTATTGTTTTCCCTTCGCTCCACTGACGAGGCTTCAGTTCCTAACATTTGTGCCGTCGACAGGTACGCAAGAAACCTATTTTTCATTTTAAAAAACCACAAATTGATCCGGAAGCTGACCTTGTCTCAAAGCCCAGCAGTATCACTTCTATGTCCAGAGCTGAATTGGAAGAATCTGTAATTGCAGGAATTTTAGGGGATTGAAATGGCAAAGAGCTGCCATTTCAAGAGTTTGGAAGACCCTGCTTTTAATAAAGCAATTTAAGTTGGTCAGGAAGGTTCTAGAGTGGGGTTTCTCAGCCTTGGAAACCTGAAGGTGGATGTGCGTCAAGATTTTCAACTCCCAGAATTCCCCAGCCAGCATGCTTTAAGATGCATGGACGACAACTCCCAGAATTCCCCAGAAAAATGCTTTAAAGTGAGAGGACTTCAACTCCCAGAATTCCCCAGAAAAAATGCTTTAAAGTGAGTGGACTTCAACTCCCAGAATTCCCCAGAAAAATGCTTTATGGTGGGTGGAATTCAACACCCAGAATTCCCCAGAAAAATGCTTTAAAGTGAGTGGACTTCAACTC